GGAACTCTGAGATTTTCCTCCGTTATCCGAAAGGCTAGATGTGGATGAAAGACAGCAGTGAGAAGGAGCCGAGGAGTTGCAGTAGGAATGCTGCAGAAAGCGTCAGGAGCCCAGAGAAAGTGGCCAAGGGGAAGATCAGGGGCCCAGAAAGTGGAGACGAAAGCAGACGATAAAACATGGTTTTATAGCATGAAAAGAGGTGTAAGGAGAACGTTTTAGAGAAGGAAATTTATTTTCCCTCGCTGTCCGGATTCGAACCTGGGACTTATGAAATGAGAAGGAAACATCTTAACCTCTAGACCACGAGATCCCCCCCCCCCCCACACACACACTTAATGATAATAACTAGCATTTTATTTCTAAAATGGATTTTTATCCCCGCTCAACAGCAAGCTTTATGAGCTTTACAACTTATATTATCATTACTCCAGGAGACCTTAGAACACACAGAAACTTTCTTGGTTTCCCTGGAAGCGTACAGTGCAAGCATCCAATTAATTTAAGCGCTCAAATACTAACAAACTGACAAGGCATTTAGGTGTCTATAAACGCGTACCCATTCCCACTTGGGTGAAGTGACGAAAATCCATGTAAAGTACCTTTCTCAAGGACACAAAGTCGGGACTCTGCCGGTGTTCAAACCCATGACCTTTCACCTGCGTACTTAACAGCCTAACCACTAGACCACCGACACCACTTTGAATTGTTGAGTTCTATAGGTGTCAACAGAGTCTACGGTGTAGCAGTTATAATCTTCTTCATAGCACACAGAAGATGTAGGTTCGATTTACATGTGGGGGGCTTTTTTGGGGGAGGTGAGTGGGTATTAAAAAATATAAAATTAATTAGTATCTCGATCTTTCAGCTAGGGAGTTGTATCCTTTTTAGCCCGGGTTGGCCCTGATAAGCAGGCTTCCAGAAGACTGCCTCGTAAATATTCTAAATTGAGTCTATGGAGGCATAAAATACGTACCATTACCATAATTAATAATTCAGATCGTTGTAACAAAAATCACTATTCCCCCACCAGTAATCAATAAAAAAAACAAAAAACTTTCTTTTCTTTCTGTTCTTTTCTTTCTCTTTTCTGTTTCTTTTATTTGTTCCTACTTTTCTTTTACTTCCTGCTCTGTAGTATCCTTTTTTTCTCTTTTTTCTTTTCTTTCTTTTCCTTTTTATACCATTTGAAGCCTTTGTTTGTCCTCTTGTTTCTCTCGGCATTCAAGGCTCAAATCAGTAAATAGCTTTGCCAACACTCACATATCAAACCGACAGCAACATTAAACAGCGACAAGGTTCTTTTTGTTACACATACTTTTACGATACTCGAGTTCAAAGTTGAGACGCACTCTATCCTCTTCACTGAAGAGCGAAACCGTTACCATGGTTTTAACACGGACATAAAGGAATAAGAGTTCGCACTTTTATTATCATGATACCCCAGGCGCAGACACCAAAAAATCCGAGTTAGATGTTCTTTATTCTGGGGCCGCGAAACACTGATTCGTGTTACCTGAAAGCAAGATACAGTTATGGAAATAGTATACACACAGATGCTTCAGTGACACTCATGGTATGGATGTTACGCCGTCATCAACAACTGTTGGACAACAGCTGTGCGATATCAATAACCGCAGACAAGAGAAATAACTTTGTAATTTGTCACTTTGTCTATTTTTCAACAAGGTTGGGATCGCCGCAGACGGTATCTGTTCATAGCTGCTCCCCCTTCTCCCCATGATCCACCTCCAAGTCCATAACATGCTCATAGCTCCAGATAAAAACTGGCTGAAATTCCGTCGAAAAGAACCACATAGAGTGTTAAATCTTTCCCTTCCCCTCCTGATTCCCCCCCCCCCCCCCCCCGACTCTCAAATGTGTATTTATCTAACCCCCGCGTTTTCGGCAAGTTTTCCAAGTTTAATGTTTGTTGTTTACCTCTCAGTAAATGAACATGTATGAACAAGAGTGTATTTAATTAAACATCTTTTAATTATCTATATCTCACAGATACATGAATACCATCATTAAAAAAGTTATTCGAAAATGATACCGTTGAAAAGAAAGCAAAACAATCCAAAAATAGCTATATTCCTAGTGAAGACAAAAAGTCAACAGTCTCGATCAATAAGGAACAAATGTAACCAAGTCAAAATAGAAACTACTTCTACTACTCAAAATACGAAAACAAAACAACAACAACAACAACAACAACAGCATAATTTGATTACACACTTTCACCCTGGCGTTCACTCACGTTTTACTCTTTCAGAGTCGGAATAATATACACTAGAGTAATTGGAATAGATTTGATTTATAATTATAAGCTGGACTCAAATTTTATGGAAAACTATTGGCAGTAGTTCAAACAGGAATCTAGATTAGTAAACAACACAGACCACAGATAGAGGGTATCAAAGAAAGTTAACCTTTCTTTTCTATCTTTTCGTCTCTTTCTTTTCTTTTTTTCGTATCTTCCGTTTCTTTATTTTTCCTATACTTACACAAAGGAAACTGATATAGATTTGACAAATAATAATATGCTAAACATCAAATTTTAAGGAAACGTATTCAAGTTATAGGCAGAATTTCAAACAGAACATCTGAATTTGTAAACAACCAACTACAAATCGAAGGTACCAAATACCTCATAACAAGATACAGCTAAGAAAATAACATGCACACGGATACATCGGTTTGCCTGGTAGACTGAATATTACATCATTTACGTAATATAACAGCTACATTGTACAAAATACCATTGACAAAAGGAAATAAATACTCGCGTTTAAACGCCTAATTGTCTTCAAGTTGGGTTCATCGCAGACGGTACATGCCCATAGCTGCTCCCCCTTCTCCTCAGGATCAACCCAAAAGTCCATCTCCTTTTAGTTCCGGATAGAAACTGTCTCGTGAGGAAGGACCACGCAGGTTGTTTTCTCGTTCCTCTCCTACTTCCCCTCTCCCCCAGACTCTATTTTACTTAACTCTGCTTCATTCGGTAAGTTGTCTAAGCTTATTCATGTTTCTTGTTTTCCGCAAAGTGAGTGAAAAATTATGAACAAGATTGAACTGAACTATGATGAGATTTCACAGATTAATGAATACAATTACACAAACAATTTTTAAAAATTTAAACTTTCGAGATCAAAGGAAAACAATCCAAGACTGTCTCTATTCCCGTTACAAGAAAGTAAACAGTCTCAAATATTACCAAAAACAATCACTTAAATCAAAATAGAAACTGCCTCTACTGTGTACTTAAAATACCAAGAAGATTCAAATAAAAAAGACAACATTTTATAATTGTACACTTCCTCGAGTACGTTCACTCTCATTTCATTATTTCAACATTAGAGTGACATAAACTTAGAGCATTGGAGCCGATTTGAAAAAAAATAATAAAAAGCCAGAACTCAAATTTCACTTGAATATACTCCCAGAATTCCATGCAAAATACCTAAATTAGTAAACAGTAGACTTGGTCCTAAATTTAGACTCTACTACCTCTGACCGCTCAGGTAGAACTCTGCCTCCTGATTATTGAGGCAACCCATGCCGTCCGAACCTGCTTCTTGACTTCACTAACAAGGAAGCCTACCAGTGTCTGTTGTGATTTAGGCATATAATCTGTAAATATGAATAGTTCAGTTTCAGCTTGGTAAAAGTTAGCAACTGCATAAGGTCAAATAAACGCGCGGGACACAAGTTAGTTGTTTTCACGTTAGTTGACATCACCGTTTGGTTCGACTTCGCAGGTCAGAATGGTTGAAGTATCTAAAAAATACATAGCAAAATTTTCAGTTTCAAAAAAGGCTGTTTACATTTTTAAAATAATATTCTATGTATTTACATTTCGGAATAAAGACCAAAGGTCTTCAAGATATCGAGAGGTCTGTTGGCATCAATGATGGAAACATATTCTTTCAATTAGTATACTATCAAAAATATTTCCTTGGAGTTTCTCCAAAGTCTAAACATTCTATTAGGATGTGCCTAGTCATAAAATCGCTATCGCATCCGACACACGGTTTTTCCTCTCCTTGTAGGAGATGGTTCAGCGTCAGGGAGGTAGGGCCAATGCGTAATTTTGTTCATATTTTAATAACTTCTTATCTTCTGGAAAGACCGGAAGGTTTCTGTGGACCCAATATGGGCACGATGTTGTGGAGTGTGTTGCCTGTTAGTTTGTTCCGTTGTTCCTCCTAGATACTGGAGGTACAGAATTGGCCATATTTTTTAATTATGTCTAGGATGTATGCTCCCCGTTAATCTTTACTTGCGGTACAAGAATTCCTGTGACAGCTGATCAACCTGTTCGTTTCTTCGGGTGCCTACATTGATAGGTAGCCATGCAAATACTGTTTAGTTAAGAAGTGAATCCTCAACCTCAACTGTAATTGAAGTATTTCAATGGTTAAGAGTGTAAACCTGGTGAATGAAGTTAGGCAAGACCAGAAATTAGACAGTATGAGGAAAGATGATTTGGGGGCAATGGCCTCTTGAAGAAAGAAATGGAGACCTCGGGATGAAATCTCCTCTGCGGAGTGTTGTTTGAGGGTAAGCCAGCGGTGCCTACAGTAAGTCCGATTTAGAGCCATTGGTGAAGATTTTCTCTGTTTTGGAGTATTGTTTGATGAGATTTTTATTCGCAGTTTTAAATGCTATTTTTAATGTCTATGCATGATTTCTTGTGAGTGGTCAGGTCTAACTTATTTTTGCCTTTTTGGGGTTCCTCGGAGGAAGGTCGTGAAAACGAAGCTGCTCTGTATCTTTTTCTGATAATTGTACGCTATCAATATCCCGAATAACTAGAGTCCGAAAAGTTTAAAAATAACTTTTTGTCTTGGTTTTTGTATTTGTTATTAAGTCTGGATGAGTATGACGCATACAGCCGTAGACTGTTTGACTACTACGTTGATTTATCATGATTTTGAGGGATGGGATGTTGGTCTCGGCCAGGAGGCGGCTCTCCACAGGAGATTTGCAGAAAGCCCCCCCCCCCCGGGCAAGACGGAGTACTTGGCTCTGTGTTAGGGTGTTAGGATCTAACATTTGCATTTTTAGGACATGAGGTCTCGCAGATCTGACAGGCCTAGTCAAGCTTGAGAATGGTTCCTTCCCAATTAGACACGCCTTCTGTGGTTACTTTAAAGAGGAACTATTATAAGGGGGTGGGATAAATTTTTTAAGTTTTTTTTTTTTTTTTAAGGAATTGAGGGTGCGGTCTCTATTTTTCTGTTTTTATCTGAGGCGGGAGGGGGGGGGGTCTACTTATTATTTTGTTCGGACAGGGAGGGGATACCTGTGGTATGTTGGGGATGGCGGTATTTATAATGTTCTTTTTTAAAAAGGGGGGGGGGGTCTTTTTATTGGGTGGGGGCCGGAACTGAAGTTGAATGGAGACCTTTGATAAAGAAATCATATTTTCCTATTTTGTATTCAAGCTTATGGAGCTTTCAAACAAGTGTTCTTTTTATATCACAGCCTTTGAGAAAATCAATGCCTTTATAAAAACGAACAATTCAAATTTCCACAGATTGGTTTCCTTAATTTATTAAAAGGAAGCTATTCTCTTAAAGCACCCACGACAAAATATATATCGCCATGCCCTACAGCAATCATTTACTATTATGCCACCAAATATTGGCAAAAACGTGCACCCAAATATGATGAAACCTACTGAAGTGCTGGACGGCCTGTGGTCTATAGCCGACATTTTGCTCCTTACTCTTTTGGAGAGGTTTACTCTAGGAACATGGAGATATCTCTGGATGCCTGCCATCTTCGAGGACAAGACTTTCTCATTTAGCAGGTCTTGATATCTCTTGGATGCATAAAGACATGAGCATGGGCACACTTTACTTCTGAACTGAGGGGTTGGACTTTGAAGTGATTCTTCAACAATGTTTGTGTTATTGACGGTATTTTTTTTTGTCTCTATATTTTTTACATGAGGCTCAGAAGTCGTAGAGTTAAGCTTAGTAATATTGGAAGATGTGATCGGAACTATCCAGCCAGACTTTTCATGTTCCTTTCCCAAGACAAAACCGCTGAAAGGACAGTTCTCACCATTTATCTCAACTTTATTTACTGTATTGTTTGGAATGAGAACCATTTCTCTAGAACAAAAATGAGAAATCCCTGTCGGGTCTTCGGCTCTCAAAGGTGTATACAATTCTTCAATAGCTACTCCGATTTTAATTACATTTATGCATTCGCATGACGCTGCAAGTACAATTCGCTTATTTTTGTTGTCAAAAGTTAAAAACTCTGCACGAGTATCCCATTTGGAGATAGGATATTGAACTGCAGCTGAATAGTCAAAGGAATTAACTATCTCTTGAGACACAACATACTGTAGAACCAACACGGGCGCAGATGCGTGCAGATAAATAACATTGTCTCCTAATTCAAAAAGTAAATAAGTGGATGTGTTCTTAAACGTGTCCACATTTGTCTCAACATGTTCCAAACCGGAAAAAGTCGTCGAAGGATTGATGTACCCAATTTTGACGAAACAAGTCAGATTTCCATTGAACAGAGGTGCTAAAACGTAGTCCTGAGCTAAAGCAGACACAGGGGGGAGTTGCTCTATTGTCATGTCTTTTCTTCGACATAAGGAAATGTTTAACCCCACACAATCGAAATCTGCTCCCGCAACGACCGCTATTCTCCTCTGTGCCCTGACCCATGTACCTGTGAGGTCTGTTTTCTTGGCCAAAATCTGCAAAACATCTAGGGGTCCTAATGATTCCTGTAAAAATTGCCCAGAGTGAAAGTATATTTCTTTGTACGTGATATTGCTTTGCGTTGGGTCCAGTTTTAGTTCAATTGTGACTTCATTGACCCCCTCAGGATTCACAACAAGAAGAATACAAAACGAAATCACACATTCTGTGACCACTAAATATTCAAACGACAACAGGGTAATGGGCATAACATTAAACACTCCAGAACTCTTAGAACGACTTTTAGGTAGTTTGACTTTCAAACTTCTTGCCTGGACGACTAGCTGGACTGGGGAAGTTACGACAATTCCTTGTTTCTTTCCGACACCTGAAATGTCGAAATGAGTCAAATACTCCAAGTTAAGAAGCCATTGCTCGTTTGAGGTGGACGTAAAGTTGTGTGAATATTCCAGAGTCTGTATTTCACCTGATGAAGTCTTACGTGCGGGTGCTGTTACAGTAACCTCGATATTCATAGCAAAGTCTTGTGACAGTGGCGAGATGGCCAAGGAAGGAACAGCGTAGTTGAGATGTTTTGGAAACGCTAGAACATACTGGACTCGCTCGTCAGAAAGGATCCCCGTAATAATTATAGCAAAGCACAAACCCCGATGTAATTCATGAAACATAGAAATCATGGTGAGATGAGTGGGCCGACGATACCACAAGAGTGTCCCCGTCACATTTAACCTGGAACACACGGTCAAGTTGATTTATACCTGAAACATTTTGGACTATTTTGAGCTCAATTGTCTATTCAACTGACATTTTTTTTTTGAGTCAACAATAACTTATGATTTCAAATACAATGCGTATTATATGATATTGTATGTCGATTTATTCTAGTTTGTGTGAGTGTTTCTTACATTCTGTGAGTTAGAAGAATCGCAAGTCTCTGTTTAATTGAGTTGGAACGTGGTCTTGTGAGTAAGGGAAAAATAATGGAGAAAGGACTGGATAAAGAGATGAGACGTAAATAGTGTCAAGTATATTGTACCTCGTCGTCATTCAAACTTAGCTGCTATTCTACTGCCGGGATTCTGTCTGTTCCTATTGTTTCTCCCCTGTCATATTTTCATCGATCTTACTGTATTTGACTGTTTCTGAGGCTTCTGTCTATGGCGAAGTGTAGCACAATCATATTGGTTACAATGCATTGCAGCCTTTTGTGACATTTCTAATGAATATCAAAATAAAAAAAGTATCTTCATATAATAAATGAACTTAATTTAGCTCGCTTCGGTTAGGCTATGGCGTAAAGTTCAATACTTTAGTGTAGGGGCCTATCGGACAAGTCATCAGTTTTGTTTGAGATTGGACAGCAAATGAATGCGTCAATTCTTCTCAACGTGTAGAGGGAAAATGCGAATAATAAAATACCATATTGTTTCAAATTGTTAGGTAACCATAGAAGACTGGAGACTCTAAAACAATAAACGTTGTTTTCTTTCTTTGTTTACAACAGTCCAATTTTCTTATCTTTTATCTAAATATTGTCTCCCCAGAAGCCTTCTGTGCCTGTTCTTTCTTCACCGGGCTAACAAACATAGTCATGGAATGTGTCCCTGAAGTTTTCAATAATTAAGGAGAAAAAAAGATCCACATACATATGCATTCACTGAAGGGGTTCAGTTCCATGTTGGACTCTGTGTCACGATGTGCAGTAATTACCGAAACCATCAGGATGAGGCCGTAATTACCACAAAATATTGGAACACGTTCGCTTTTCTGAAGCCAGTCTTCCATCCATATTTTTCTCTTTTTCTTTTTCTTGGCCTCGAGCAGCGCATACATTGCAAGCAAATCGTCATTGTTAGTGCACTCTGCCATTTTTAAATCTGACTTGTACGACGGTTAAACCACACATGATGTGGATGATGCGCCGACCCGTCGGATGGCGATTTTGAGTGGCGGTTCCAAAGCCGATTCCCATTTCAGTTAAAACCGCCTTGTTGGAACGGAGATGTGTAGAGCCCCTAATACGGTGAAGGTCTATTTGAGATCTCCACTGGAAATTTACTTGACCTACGCTTACTCCCCACATCCTATGACTCCTCCCTGTTTTTGGCCAGCATGGGGATAGCAGTTACGTCATACACGAAAGACACCATTCGGACAAGAAACTTCAAAGAGATCTTTACCATAATTTATATCACAAGCTGCTTTGGCACCTAGAGGGAATACAAGCCATCGTATAATATGTTCATAATTATTATTTCATTTGACGGTTTGGAAAAAGAAGATCACATTATTTCCTAGCAATATACTCCATATCATACTTGTAATCTAATATTTATACCTGTGCACTTTGGCCTAAGTCCAGTTCACAATAGAACGCCTCATCTGAAGTTATTTGTAGGGGCTAAAGCTACCATTTTAGCACAATGGGTTCGATTCGACTCATATCCTCGAAAAACAAGCGCGTTCGATTTTGAAGGTCACGGGCCAATTTAGCCGAATTGTAATCAAATGCCAGCCTTTGCCCCATCAATGAAGGAAAAATCTGTTATCCTCGACTGAATCAATAAAAATTGAATTCCATTAGCAGTGTGGACGTTGTACTTTTGCTCAATCCTCGGCTCGCTTTTTGTTTATTGAGAGTTTTTTTCGTTGTTTTTGTTTTGTTGCTTTTTGTTTTTGTATTTGTTAGTTTTGTACAAACAGGCAAAGAGGTTATGATAGTACTAGAGGTCACAGCTGTGACGTCACCCACGTAAACTCACTATTGTTTGTTTTTGTTTTTGTAGAGGTTTTCCGGCGCTCGCAACTGCATAAGGTCATTTGAACGCCTATAGGTGGATGTCAACAGAGAAGTCCTTACAGGGAATCAGACTTACTCTGCTCACCTCTTTAGATCCAATAGCACAGAGTCTGCTTCGACTATCAGGGCACCCCGGAATTTGCGGGTCACAAGAGTGTGAGAAACAGACAAGAGAAGTAAAGGAGAAATGACGATAGTAAGTATTTGGAAAGAAAAAGCAGCAGTTCCCTGTTGCAGTTCAGGCACAGTTATGAGCATGACATTGATGAATCAGTCCATTTACAATTACAATTCTGCTGTGTATAAGAACTCGAGATGTTAATTTCCCCCCTTTGGGAATGGCCAAAAGACACTCCAGTCAGTAGTACAGCCCGGGTGGGGGGGGGGGGTTAAACTCACTTTTTAAAGTTTTCTTTTTGTTGGCTGTTATTGTTTAATCATATAATATACAAGCATATACAATACTGCACCTGCTGACAGGATTGTGGGAAACATAAATGCACTTAGATATGCGCTACAAATGAACAGAGAGATTATTATAATGAGGTATTGTTTTTCCCAGGTGGGGTGGGGGAGGAGTGGAGGGAAATATAGTGAGTAACTGAGTATGTTAAGAAATAGGACAATTTCATACTTACATAATGGATTGGTTTTATGTCATGTTATCTGCGCTCTCCTTCTACTGATGCAAACCTAGGTCTTCATAGAGTATGAAGGATGTTAAGACTGGGGTCAGATACGTGTACTAAGAATGATCTCACCACAGGCTTTGAAGAAATCTTCGACGCCAAGACAGAGACGCCTGTCACTAGCTGTATAGTTCTTGATGGAGCAGCCATCGCACAGATTGGCTGCAATAAATTAAAGACTTTTGAAGAGTTTGCTCCTAAGATCTTAATCCCATATAGCAATATATAGCATACAGCAATAATATATGAATTCGTTATTGTCTCAAAATGAGCAGTTAATTGTATGCTTGGATATTGTGAATCACTCATTGTATGGATCCTGTGCGCACACCCAAAGACCGTTGTTTAACATCGGGAATCCAAAAATTATAAACGGACAACTACAACATTGTAAAATGTAACACTTACCTAAGTAGACGGTTTATCTTAAACGTTCTTATATATTTTCTAAAATTGGCGTTGATTGGCAATGGTGTTTGGCTACACAACACCCCATCTTCCAAGAACACCATCTCATCAACATCAACAGTTGTTCTTTTCCGTTCAGCCAGCCTTGAAGGTGTGCTATAGTTACAGCCGACTCTTCTTGCAGCTTCTCAGCCACATTTCTGATTCCAGAGGGCAGATACGAGCGCCTTATTGTGATCAGCGGTGCTAAATCTAGACGAACTGTTTGAGAATTTTACTCTTCTATATGGTCTTAGCGTAAAAGGCCCTATTTGTATTATTTGGAGATTATCTGGCTCCTTTAAAGGTGAACAATCACACAAATCCCCATGGGTACATTTTAGCGGTAGGCAAATCACATGAAAAAGAAATCAACATCAAAAGACTTAGGAGGGAATTATTAATCCACCCCCTCCCCGGAATGGCGGCGCGCCCCTCAAGTGTGACACTCGTGACGTCACAGCTGTGACCTCTAGTTCTATTTATAACCTTTTTGGCAAATAGTTGTGTACACACTCATATCATACACACACACACACACACACACACACACACACACACACACACACACACACACGCACCTCGTGGCCAAAGCACTTGAAGGAGTCAGAAAGATAAAAGATCTGAGTCACATTTTCCTTTAAGGGGTGGGGGGGGGGCGATTTTACTTAATTTCACATATATAACAAGCATGTAAAGAGTCTTAAAATCTGCAATCAAATTTAAGTTTAAAAAATTGTTTCCATGGACACGGCGGCCATATTGGGTTTTGGTGACATGTCTTATGTAATGAATACAGCATTTAATGCTCTTGGAAATTGAATGTTTTTTGTGTGTTTTTTTTTGCATGCGTGTTAACATGCAATAGATCTAAAAATTTGTCCTTTGTTTTTTTCCTAAACGACTTAGAAAATTGTTAATGAAATGTTTCCTGAGGTAGTATTCAAGTTTGCAAAAAATCGTTGAAAATCCCTACTCCAAACGTTACCAAAAAAAAATGTACTTCTAATCTAAATAATTCAAAAGACAAACATTTAGTATTACATCTTCCCCTCATTCAGTGAAAATTTCAAGAAGATTGAATGAAAAAATGGTGGAGTTATTTGTAAAAAGTATAGAGAAAAATCGCTTTTTGAGAAAACGGCCGATAACGAAAAATAAAATGTTGACTTTATGAGGAAATGGTGGTGACAAACATGCCCGGTATGGGAAGAAATAAGGTTTTGGGGGTGTTCTTATGCGATGAAATAGTTGTAGGAGAGGCTGAGGAAGCTAAAAATGCTTACAAATATTCCATAATTTTGAGCCAAGTCGGGACTTTGGGGGTGTACCCCCCCCCCCTCCCTTAAAAACTGAGTTCCTATACTGCCTTTGAATGAACTGAATATGCTGTTAAATCAGGGTTTTGGCTTTTACAGGTTACAAAAATAAGGTAGCATTTCTTGCTTTTGTTGTTAACATTGTTGCTTTTTCTTTTGTTGTTGTCTTTTAAATGAGGTGGATGGTGTTTGAGTTTTCATTCTCTTGTTTGTTTTCTTGTTGTTGTTGTTGTTGTTGTTGTTGTTGTTGTTGTTGTTGTTGTTGCTGCTGCTGCTGCTGTTGTTGTTGTTATGGTAGTGGTGGTGGTGGTGGTAGTTGTAATTGTTTTGTTGCTGACGTTCTTGGCGGTGGTTTTGGGTTTGCTTTTGTTTTGGGGTGTTATTTTTTTCATTTGTCTCGTAACAACCTCAATTTGACTACGACGTTTTCTTTTTCTAATCCCTTAAAAATGTTTGTCTTCACTACCAAGGAAGCCTGATAGTGTCTGTTGTGATTTTTAAAATAGGCATGGAATCGTGGAATGTGAATGGTTCCGTTTCAGTTGGGCACAAAGTTTACGGAGCTAGCAACTGCATACTACGGTCATTTAAGCGTCAGGACTCAATTTAGTTGTTTTCATGTTGTTTCACAACACTGTGTGGTTAAACTTCGCAAATCAGAATGATCGAAATGATCGAAAGGTACATTGTATAACTTTAATTTAAAACAGGCTGTATACATTTTTAAAATTACACTCCATTTATTTACATTTTGGACAAATGGTCAACTTACGAGTCTTTTAAAAACTAAAGAGAGAACTTTTCTGGAATATACGATGGAGAATAAATTCTTTGAATTAGTAATACATTTCCTTCTGATCTCCCCAAAGTCTTGACATTCTTTTAGGATGTCCCTGATCGTGAAGTCGCTATCGCATCCAACATGTTGGATGCAATACCGACTTTGCAAATGCGCAGCATTTGAACATATTTTTAAAGTCTATCTAGGGGTGGATGTTTTCCGTTGGCCTTAACAGGTGGGACAAAGATTCCTTCCCTGGAAGATCGACCTGCTGGTTTCCTCAGATGTCTACATTGCTAGGTAGTCATGATCATGAAAATACAGTATATTTTCCCTCTTTAGTCAAGAAAAGAATCTTCTTAAGGGAGTCGTAGTCCAGAAGTTTTTATTTTTTTCGTCACTGTTTTTTTGTGGGTTTTTTTGCTTATTATGTCTCGATAAGTGTTAAAAAATACGGTCGTCAGCTGGATTAAGCTTTGTTTTACTACGTTGAGTAATGAGACTTTATTTATTATGATTTTGAGGGCTGGAGGCTACTTTAAAAAGGGAAACAAATTTAGGGGGAGAGAAGATATATTTTATAATTTTTATTTTGTTGTTGTTTTCTTTTTTAAATAATCTTTTTTAGGAGTTGTAAAGAGGGGTTGATGTCCTTTTCAGTCTGTTTTTTTTTCTTTAAGGGGAGTGGGTGTCATATTTTTTTCCTCGGAGAGAGAGAATCTTTTTTGAGGTGAGGATAGATGTATTTTTCTTTTCGCCCTTTCTATTGAGGGTAGGGGTGGGGTCTTCTTATTGAGTTTGTTGGGGGGTGGGGCAGAAACCATATTTTCCTATGTTGTATTCAAGCTCCTGTCGTTTCAGAGAAGTGTTCCCTTTACATCACAGTCTTTGAGAAAAATAATAGGTCTATACAGAAACGAACATATTCAAATATCTATAAATTAGTTATATTCCCTTGTTAAGTGGCAGTTCTTTTCTTAGAGCACCCGCAACAAAGAAATCGCCATGCTCTGTAGCAGTCATTAAGTATTAGGCCCCCAAATATTGGCAAACATATGAAGGCAAACACGACAAAGCCTACTAATGCACTGGACGGTCTGTGGTCTATGGCGGACATTTTGTTTCGTACTCTTCTGGAGAGATTCTCTCTGGGAATGTGGAGATAACTCTGGATAGCTGCAGTCTCTGAGGACAAGACTGTTTCATTTAGCAGGTTTCGATAACTCCTGGATACATGAAGACACGGGCATGGGCACAAGTTACGTTTGAATTGAAGGGTAGGGCTGTGAGGTGTTTTCTCAACGATGTGTGTGTCAGTGACAGGTTCAGAAGTCGTGAAGTTATGCTCAGTATTGTTGAAAGTCAAAATCGGAAAGATCCAACCAGAATTTCCCTGTTCCTTTCCTAAAACGAAACCGCTGAAAGAACAGGTTTCACCATTTATCTGAATTTTTTTTACTGTATTGTTTGGAAAGAGGACCATTTCTCTAGAACAAAAATGAGAGATCCCGGACCGGCTTTTAGCTGTCCAAGGTGTGTACAGTTCCTCAATGGCTACTCCGACTTTAATTACTTGTATGCACTTGCATGGCGCTGCAACTATAATTCGCGTATTGTTGTTGTCAAAAGTTAATAGCTCTGCACGAGTATCCCATTTGGAAATAGGATATTGAACTGCTGCTGAATAATCAAAGGAATTAAACATCTCTTGAGACACAACATACTGTAGAACCAACACGGGCGAAGATGCGTGCAGATAAATGATCATGTCTCCTAATTTAAATATTAAAGAAGTGGAGGTATTTTTAAACGTATCTACATTCATCACGACATGCTCCAAACCGAACAAAGTCGTCGATGGATTGACATACCCAATTTTGACGAAACAAGTCAGATTTCCGTTGAATATAGGTTCTAAAATGTAGTCCTTAGCTAAGGCAGACACAGGGGGGAGTTGCTCTATTGTCATGTCTTTTCTTGAACATGAAGCAATGGGTAACCCCAAACAATCGAAATCTGCACCTGCAATGACCGCTATGCTCCTCTGTGCCTTGACCCATGTGCCTGTGAGGTCTGTTTTCTTGGCCAAGATCTGCAAAACATCAAGGGGTCCTAATGATTCCTGTAAAAATTGTCCAGAATGAAAGTATATTTCTTTGTACGTGATATTGCTTTGCGTTGGCTCCAGTTTTAGTTCAATCGTGACTTCATTGATCCCTTCGGGGTTCACGACAAGAAGAACACAAAACGAAATCACACATTCTGTGACCACTAAATATTCATAGGATAACAGGATAATAGGCATAACATTAAACACTCCAGAACTTTTATAACTGCTTTTAGGCTTTGTAAGTCTAACTTTCAAACTTCTTGCCTGGACGACTAGCTGGGCTGTAGAAGTTACGACAATTCCTTGTTTCTTTCCGATACCTGAAATGTCGAAATGAGCCAAATACTCCAGGTTCAGCAGCCATTGCTCGTTTGAGGTGGACGTAAAGTTGTGTGTATATTCCTGAGTCTGTATTTCACCTGATGACGTCGTACGTGCGGGTGCTGTTACAGTGACCTCAGTGTTTTGAGCGAAGTCTTGTGAGAAAGGCGAGATGGCCAATGAAGGAACGGCGTAGTTGAGATGTTTTGGAAACGCTAGAACATACTGTACTCGCTCTTTAGAAAAGATACCCGTAATAATCATAGCAAAGCACAAACTCCGATGTATTTTATGAAACGTAAAAGCCATGGTGAGACGAAAGGGCAGAAGAAACCGTCAGAGAGTCACCTTAACAAATGACCCGGAACTTACGATCAAGTGAATAAATACGTGAAGAATTTTGGACTACTTTGAGCTCAAAGCGCTAGTTAACAGTCATGTGTATCTTTGTCCTTTACGTCAACTGTGACTTACGGTTCCCAACACAAAGAGCGTTATATAAAGTTGTACATCGATTTATTTAGGGGTGGGGGCGGTTGGGAGGCTGTGTGTGTTTCTTACATTCTGTGATTTTTTTTACTTAGAAAAATTGCACGTTTCTCTTGTACTGAGTTGGAACGTCGTCTTTTTGGATTGGGAAGAGCAATGGGAAATTGACTGGATAAGGGGATTGTCAAGTATGTTGCATTGTGTCGTCATTCAGACTTGACAGCTATTCTACTTCCACTGATTCTGTTTGTTTTGTTTGTATTTTCCCGATCATATCGATCTTATAATATCCATTGTCTCCAAAGCTTCTGTCTAAATCGAAGGGTAGCACGATCATATTGATTACAGTACACATGATCCTATTGTGAAATATCTGTTGAATATCAAGAACTAAGAGTTTTCTTCTATAAAAATGACTAAATATGGCTTCCTTTCACTAGGCTATGGTGTGAAGCTCAATACTTAAATTGCACAAGTCTTCAGTTCGTTTAAGATTTAGCTGCAAATAAATGCGCCCAGTTTGTCTCCATCTATGGGTGAAATGCGTGATAGTACATTATAAAAATAGCCAATACAGTTAGATACACAGGGAAGACAATAGACTTTAAAACAATATAAGACAGGTTCTTCACTTTTTGTCAGACAGCGGTTAAAACACAATAAAATAAAATCGCTCTGTTTAGACTTCCCAGATGTTTGCATACGGGTCTAAACGTTGGACGACTAGTGGAATCGAGAACCTCATTCATAAAGGTCGCTGCAAATTAAAGTCCCGGCACGTTTTCTTTGAAGTTAGCCTAAAACGGTTAAAAAATAATAGAGGATTTATGACATACACCTAGGGGCTCTCGTGGCCTAGAGGTTAAGGTGTTCGCCTCTCATTAAATTCTGACGTGCAAATCGATCGTCAAACTTGGGTATAGGGGCGAAAGACTAATAGGTCCCGGGTTCGAATCCGGATAACGACGGAACAGTTTCGTCTCTAAAAATGTTCTTCTTTTATTTCCTTTCCTGCTCTCTAACAATGTTTTGTTGTCTGCTTTCATCTCCACTTTCAGCCCCCACTCTCATACCTCCTTTGCCACCTCCTCTGAGCGCCTGATTCTTTCTGCAGTCCTTCAACAGCTAATCCTTGGTTCCTTCTTACTGCTGTCTTTCAGCCACACTCCTGTTCTTCGGGTAGGCAAGATCTACACCAAGCCTTCTCGGACAAAGGCGAAAAATCTCCGAAGTTCGGTGGGCAAGTTGTGCACGTTAAAGATCCCTTGGTGGTCTAAAATCGATAAGAGTAGGCTTCGGCCGCCGCCCGGGCAAAATTAAAAATTTCCTACCAACTGAATAATATGTTTGATGTGTCCCGCCTGCTCATTTGACCTTATGCAGTTGTAAGTGTAAGCGCCGTAAAACACTTACAAAAATAAATTTAAAAATAGTATACACCTAAAACATTGAAACGTTGGCCTATTTTCCTTAACACCCATTTTTAACGCACACATAAGAAAGACGGTCCAAGAGACGGGGTGAGTACTTTTTGAGACTGGCATGGAGACGTCTGGACATTATTGGGGGGGAAATCTGCAACCTGAGAATGAAATGTCGGGGTGGGGTGATGCCACTGTCTCAAATAAACGAGCAATTTGCAGCTAGGTCACTGTAAATCATTCATTATAGTGATCCCGTGTATGCACCAAAGGGCAGTTTTTAATAAAGGCTACAAATAGAGAAAAAATAGATTGTTTTTACTATATCAACATTTTTCAAGAAAATATTTATATTTTGTCACTGGCCTGCAGAAGTGCTTGCAAGGTATTGTGGGCATACAAAAAGTAACAAATGAGCAACATTTTTTTTACAGAGACAAAAGAAAGTAAACATGCCGTAAATACCGTCTCCCTTGACGTCAGCTATGCCTGCTGTATCCACTTGAATACTCCTAAAAAATTAGGAGACTACACCGTACCTGATACATGCTGCTACTTAAGTTTGTGGTGCTATTGTAGTAACTTTGTATTTGCCACTATAACACGAGTCTTTGTTAGAGTATCAATACAGCTGTCCTTTTTTCCATTTCTTTCTTTTCTTTAAGTGGAGTGTGTTAGTCTTCTTTTGTTTCTTCATTCCAAACACTCAAAACCAGCAAGTTATCTTTTACGTGACTTGATGGGTCTACCCCATTGAAATTTTGTGGGTTTTTGTTTTTGTTTTTGTTGTTGTTGTTGTTGTTGTTGTTGTTGTTGTTTTTGGTTTTGGTTTTGGTTTAAAATTTTGATAAGGAATTATACTTGTAGTGAAGGCAAGGAAATATTTTTGACTGTCTGAAAAACCACAAAGATATTAGAGTTTTAAGGTCTTTATTGCGGTGAAGGTCTTTCTTGACCTACTGCTCACATCCAGGGACTCTGTTTTCGACCAACATGGGGGTAGCGGTGGTGTCATACTCGAAAGACAGACGCATTTAAGACAAGATGCATCTAATAGACCATAACAATTTATACTAAAAGCTATATTTGAGATGTAGAGGGAATATTTACCGTAATATAATATTTTTATAATTTCAGTTGATGGTATGAAATAAAGATGACATCATTTTCTAGCAATATATTCCTTAAAATAGACCTTCTCTTCGCCGATGCTGCTGCTCTTGTTGCTCACAGTGAATCAACACTACAAACAATGATGGACCGCCTATCAACAGCATGCAAGGTCTTTAGCTTGGTCATCAGTGTTAAGAAAACAGTCATCCTTACCCAAGAAGGCGCAGAGAAGAGCCATACATGGCTGAACGAAAAGGAACTTGAGACAGAGGACAAGTTCTGTTACCTGGGGTCTACCATCAGCTCTACTACATCACTTGATTAAGAGATCAACACCAGGATAGAGAAAGCAGCAACAACTTTTGGAAGGCTGACAAAAAGAGCATAGGAAAACAAAAGATTAATCATCAAAACTAAGATCAAGATTTACGAAGCCTGTGTCCTCAGCACACTCCTTTATGGATCTGAAACATGGACCTTGTACAGCTGACAAGAAAAGCACCTCGAAATTTTCCATCTCAGATGCTGCCTCAAGATCTTAGGCATTTCGTGACGTGACAAGGTTACAAATGTTGAAGTGTTGGCTCGGGCAAACCCCACGAGCAGGACAACTATCCTGTGTTTAAAAATATTGAGATGGCTGGGCCATGTCAAGAGAATGGGCGACAACCGGATTCAGAAGCAACTTCTCTATGGAAACCTTGCCCAGGGAAAGAGATCAAGAGGAAGACCAAAATTGAAGTACAAAGACATCTGCAAAACAGCTTATCTAAGCTTGGAGTAGATGTTAGCATCTGGGAAGAAATAGCTGAGGACAGGAATACACGGAGGAAAATGATAAAGGAAAGAACTATAACGCTAGAGAGCAGCCTTAGAAACAACTAGACGAGAAGCGCCAACGACGAAAGGAAAACAGCGGAAATGCAGAGCTTCAATCTACGACTCTGACATGCAAGCACAGCGATAGAATCTGCGCTTCAAACATAGGAAGAATTAGCCATGAAAGAAACTGCATGAAGACTACCTTGAGACCATCTTAAGCTAAATTGAACGTCTGCATAGACGAAAAGAGCCATATTATATTCCTTAAAATACGTAAAAGAAAAAGACCCATTTAAAGGGCAATAACTTGGACATCAGTGCCTTCATTATATACCAACAAAAATTAAAGTCGACCAAGGGGACATCAAGTTTGTAAATATGAAGAAAATCCATCAACGCCTCAGTGAATTATCATGCTTTTAAGCATTTCGACCAAATTTGGGTAAAACGCAGAATTTCACATCTCAGTATTCTCAGACCCCTCGACATCCTAAGGATACCAGAGGAAGGAGAAAAGTAAAGTAAAAAAGTATTCTCATAATAAATGTTCAACAACAGCTGCGTGATCGGCCCGTTCTGGTTTCAGGACAAGGACGGCAAAACCGCAATAGTCACATCACATGGATATCTCACTTGGCTGAAAACGTTCTGGAGAAAGGAGGACGTATTATGGTGTAGAGGCTTGGTTCAATTGGGATGAGGGTACACTCAAACGTCTAGAGTGGTCCCTGTGTGGTTTGCAAGAAAGGTTTGGGAAACGCCTTATGAGCCGAACGCTTAAAAACGAATGGTCACCACTTTCCACCCAACTTGAGTAATTTATGTTATCTCTCTGGAGAGGGGGGGGGGGTTGACAGAACAAGTCTATGGAAACAAGCCATAAACAATTGAACTGTTGAAACTCAATATTGAACAAGGTGTCCAAAGAATCGACCAAAAAACACGCCTCGGGGTTATTGAAAATTTCCAATGGCGTATTGGAGCTTGTATGAAGAGAAATTGGCACCTCTGGATATTTATATAGCCATCATCTTCGTGAGTTTATTTGGCAATATATTTCTTTTCCTTAAGGTGTTTTCAATACACAACTAGTTATTATTTGCAATAGACCAGTATAGATGATATTTAAGAAATTGCAAAGTTATATGTTTCACTCAAGTTTGGTTGAAATTTTTAAAACTTGATTTGTCTTGAACATGGTGATTTATTTGTTTCATGTTGACTAAGGTAATGTCCTTCTGGTTGAATTTTATTTCTTTAAAGGTTTATTGAGATTAATATAATGATAATCGAGTTATTGCCCTTTAAGTGGCTGCACTTTTTCTTTTTAGAAACCTGATACTTGTTTTCTAACAATATCTTATGAGACTGTGCATTATGACGTAGGCACAGTTCACAAAAGCGCGCCCAGTTTGACTTTCTTTTGAAGGGTCACAGCTACCATTTTTGCGCAATGCATTCGACTCGACTCCAGCCCTTAAAAAAGACAAACATGGTTGGTCACTGGCGAATTTAGTTAAATGGTACTAAAATGGCAGGTTTTGTCCCATCTTTGAAGGAATAAATCTGGCAATCTCCCTCTAAATTCCATTGGTAGTATGCACACTTTAGAACAACTGTTATGTTTTTTTGCCTGTTGATTTCTTTGCTTTATTTGTTCAGTTCTTGTTGTTGGTTCTTTTGGGTTTTTTTTGTCTCTGCCCTTTTTTTTTTGGGGGGGGGGGGGGCTGGGGGGACTCTCTCTCTCTCTCTCTCTCTCTCTCTCTCTCTCTCTCTCTCTCTCTCTCTCTCTCTCTCTCTCTCTCTCTCTCTCTTTCTCTCTCTCTCTCTCTCTCTCTGTGGTTAGATTTGTAGAAATAGGTAAATACATCTCATGAATGAAGTAATTGAGAAAAGTCAGAAAAATAAAGGCTTTGAGTCACATTTTGCTTTACAAATTGAGTTCTATGTATGGAGATACGAAAG